ATATGTATGTATGTATGTGTGTATGTATGTATCTATGTATCTATGTATCTATGTATGTATGTGTATGTATGTATGTATGTATGTATGTATGTATGTATGTGTGTATGTATGCATGTGTATTTATGTATGTATATGCGTGTGTGTGCGTCTATCCGGTTATTTCAGCTCGTCAACCAAGCAAGCTCTAACAATAAAATTTTGCCAGTGGGTTTCCTGGCAAATGCCACCACAGGACCGCGGCACCAACCTTCACGTACATCTGGTCCCGACGTATGAGCACGTGATAGTTTTGGAGGGAAAATCGCTGACTCAGAAACCACGAAAGCTGGGAGGCTGAGATTTTAAGGAGATGCTCCCAGCCCATTTACAACTTAAAAATTTCAAATTCAGGCCCCAGTTGTGCGTGGTTCTCACGTGCGGGCTAGTAAAAACTTTTGGCAAGAAAATTGCTATCTCGGGAATCAGAAAAAACAGAGAGCTGAAATTTCGAAGGGATGTTCCCTTAACAAGTACCATGTAGTTGCACGATTAACTTTTTGAACTGCGAGATTGTCATGAGTTCTAGCTACTGGGACTCCAGGCGATCTTAAAACAGCACGAAATACTGCAGAACGCATGATTGCACGGGGCCGCCTGGTGCGCGTTGCCGATGATTTCTTCTTAGTGCAGCGAGAACCAGTAGTAGCGCTAGGACTGTGCAACTATTCGGCAGGAATCGTCACACATCGGATAGGAGAAGCCACTCTTGACGACGAGCCATGTGGATGTAAAAGTAGGGAAGGCTAGCTTACTTCCAACCGCAGTAAGTATAAGCTCTTGTGCATTCCCTTAGCATGCCCAAGAACCTCGAAATCGCATACTGTTGAGCCCGACTTGCCTCTGCTGTATTTTTCTCCTGTAATGGGAGCGTCCCTTCATCAGTGGTCTTCCTAGCTGTGGTAGTCGATTTACTCTGCAGATACCGTCAAACACCGGTGTTCAGTGTCCGAGAAATAAAAATTGATATTAATTAATTGTGAAGTTGGTCGATAATAGTTGTAATTTCTTTTTTCGGATATTCGAACTGGTTTCTCACTCTCTACCTGGTAGAGCTTTCAGGTATATCAGTGCGCCTTGGAGTACTGCAGATGGCGTCAAGAAGTACGGGTTGCATCACTTTAACATTTGCAAAGTGCTTGGCAAAGGCAGCTTCGGCAAGGTTGGCTTTTTATGGTAAAACAGAATGCAAAAACGAATGCAAGCGTAACGTGTCTACTTGCATATTTTAAACTAAGAAAGTTAGGAAACTCAGATTTTGTGAAAAAAAGTCATTGATCGCTTCGGAATTTAGAACGAGGAATCAGCTTCGAGTCATTCTATACTCTGTTTTAAATTAAGGTCCCGAATTCACACAAATTTTA